TTGGGGCCAAGCCCTCCCCCGAGCTCCCTCACTGCACCCTACAGATCCCAGACTCGGGTGTCCAGAGGACCATCTGTGCTCTCCCTCCCACACGCCCAGCCCCTGCCCCGGGCGCGGGCCACGCTTCTCCCCCCGGGGCCACTTCCTGTCTTCTGTGGGCCTGGCCCTGAGTAATCCACCTGGAGCTGAGGTGGCAGCACCCACCCACCCCGGGCAGCTCACCATGCTGGGGCAGTAGCCGGCACAGATGCTGGTGGTGAAGGTGATGCAGACAGGGCAGGCCTCGTTCTCAGCGGCCAGGGTGGCGTTGATGGGCCGGCACAGCGGCCGCAGTGGCTCCCCGGGTGCCCACACCCCGGCCGCGCTCAGCAGCAGCCACAGCAGCAGCCCCTGGGACCAGGCCAGCGCCTCAGGGCCAGCCCGAGCCCTCCGCCCCGAGTCCTTACCACCCAGCCCCCGGCCCTGCATACACACGTTCGGGGACCCAGCTCCTCTGCCTGACGTCTTCCATTCAAGAATCTCCCATCCCCATACCCAGGGACCCCAGATATCCACCCTCAGGCCCTGTACCAGCTGCTTCCCTCCTCCTGCCAGGAAGCTTGCTGGCTCTCCACACCCTTCTAGAAAGAGGCCTCCTTTGCCAGGTCACAGGACTCTCCCTCTTCCTTCCAGCCATGGCCTGGATGTAGTCGCAAGGGGCCCAGGGGCCCTGTGGTCTTACCTGGAGCATCTCCATCCTCGGTGTCTCCCCTGCCGCGTTTACCTGGTCTTATAGCTGCGGGCTGTGGGGGCGTCAAGGCCACTGGGGGCGGCAGCATGGTGGGGTAACCTGGACACTAATCTCCCCGGGGGCGAGAGGCAGACAAGGTCAGGGAGATGCAGGAATGGCCCAGTGGCGCCCCCCTCCCCCCACTCCCTGAGTGGCTTCCGCTCCAAGAAGCAGAAGACGCCCAAGGTGAAGCAGACTTCACAGACTCAGTCCCCAGGTGCTAGGGAGGCTGTGGTGGGAGCACAAGAAATAGGGTATAGGAGGCTGTGCCCCTTGCCTTGTGGGCCCCCCTCTACCCATCCTGAGGGGAGCCCGCCAGAGGCTGGAGCGCCGCCCCTCTGACAATCCTCCAGTGGTTATAGGCTGAAGCCTCAACCCTGCTCCACCTGCCGTAGACTGAGTCCGACTTCTTAGGAGGGGGGTGGCTTCGATGTTGGATTCTGTCACCAGAGGTGGGGGGTGGTCCACCCAGACGCGCTGCCCCTCCACCAGGGATTCAGCGGGAATCCCACCTGCCCCACACTCAGGCCCCCAGAAACCAGGATGCCGGAACTGAACCCAGCAAAGAGCGTGGTTTAGGCTATTTAACTCTGTCGTCGACTGAGATAAGCTCTGCCCTTTCCGCCGCAGAGGGTGTGTGCCACCCTCTAGCCCACAGCCCCAAGGTACATTTTCCAGGCTCAGTCCCGCCCCCGTGATCGAGTGGACCTGTTAGATTCGCCCCGCCCACGGTCCAAGCTCTGCCCCGCCCCCAGGTGGTGGGCGGGGGTCCCGTCTTAGCCCCACCCAGTGTACCCCTAGTCCCAGTCTTCCAGGCTCAGCCCCGCCCCCGCTTGGGGGGCGTGTCCAGGGCGGGGCTGGCCCGTCTGGCTCAGGCCAGCGCCGGCTTTAAGCTGCCGTAGTTGAAGTTCTCGGTGCTGTAGGCTTTCGGCACGCTGTAGATGTCTGACTCGGGTTTCCAGTGGGGGCCGCCCCAGGGCGGCTCCAGCGGGCAGAAACGGTCGAGCCGGCGGAGTGGGTGCAGCGAGGGGCTGTAGGATTCTTGAGCCAGAGACAGCGCCCCGCGGTGCGGCACGACTGGCATCACCGGACGGGCGCGGGGCACGCGGATTTTCGGCGGCCGGAGTGGCCGAGAGGAGCACGGACCGGGCGGCTGTTTCGGGCCGGGGCCTCAGGCCTGGGGCGTCTCCCCGAAGCTCCAGGAAGTCATCGAGTCCTTGCGAGGGTAGCCTGACAACTCCTTCCTGTCGGGGTTTGGGGTGGAGGCACGATGGGGAGGGCACAGCTAGATAGATCCTCGAGGACACATTTGTAGGAGTCAGGGACCCTTTAGGAAGCATGAGACTGGGGAGTCCTAGCCTGGATTCCTGGGTCCTCGAGGTATTTAAGGGCGTGGAATCTGGGACTTTTCGCATCCTTAGAAAAGAGTTATCTGGGGGACTCAAATACCAAAGGAAGCCCGCCCTAGACCCTCAGGGCCACGTCCCCAGATCCAGAGCTCCTTCTTGGGCCGTTTGCAGGCTTCCTGTTCCTGAGAGTTGACACTAAGTGTACCAGGGCGCTAAAAAAGGTAGGGGCTGGGTCTGAACTTCTGATTACTGCGCGTGCAGGAGCTGAAGGCCGAGACTACTGAGTCAGAGACGGGGACCCAACACCGGGGGTCTCGGCGTCCCACCAGCCTATGCGGGGGCTGTGCAGGGGGTCGGTGCCAAGGGAGGACCCAGGCTCACTTCGAATAGGCCTGGAAGTCCCGGGCCGAAGTGGTCAGATAGAGCTGATGGCGGTCCAGGATGCCCCGGTCAGAAATAGTGAAAGGCCGGCCGGCCAGCTCGGGGTTCTTCGTCCAGGGGATTAGAGCCTGAGGAGGATTGCGGGAGGAGGGATGAGCAAGAAAGGTTTCATACCCTTTTTCATGCCCTTTGTCCCAGACGGAATTCCTCTTCCTTTGGCCTCAACAGCGCCTCTGAACCAGGCCGATACCCGCCCCCAGAATCAGAATCCTTCCTGGCCAGTGCACTTCAGCTTCGCTCCCCAAATCAGAACCCTTACTAGCCTCACCTCCAAAATCCAAATACTTTCTGCCCGTCATCGGACACAAAGCCAAGCACCCAGTCACTAAAAAACCTTCCCTGCTCCTCCCCTAGATTCAAACCTTCTCGGTCCCGCCCCTGGAATTCAGCTGCGCCTCGGGCGACTGTTACTCCTTAACACCACCCTAACAGGGGAAGCCAGCCCCGCCTTCCGCCCCAGACCGGCCTCAGATATTCAAGCTCCGCCCACACGTATATTAGGCTACCTAGCTCCGCCCACAGCCTCAGAACCGCCTCCTAGGCCCGCCCCAGGATTTACTAGCTGTGGCCCCAGCCTCAGAGCTGGGATTTCGGGCTTCCAGTCCCCTCCTCCTCCTGGCTCCGCCTCAAAAGGCCTAAGCCCCTTCCCCACTCAATGTAACCTCCAGATTCTGTCCCACTCTTTAGACCCCAGACTCAAAATTCCCTCAGACCCCGCCCCAGGGTCTCAAAGCTCTGCCAGACCCTGCCACTGCGGTCTTCTCCGCTACCTGGGAAGGGCCCCCGCGGTTGTGGTCCGCAAGCTCCAGGGGCTGGGGCCCGATGAAGGAGGTGGCGCCCCGGTCCAGGCTGGGCCAGCCGGCGTACTGCGCCCTCGTCTCACTGCACTGGTGCTTTGTGATCAGAGGGAGGCGCCAGCCGCGGTGTCTGAGCTGCAAGAAGACGACGCGGGGACACAACATGAGGGTGCACGGGACTCCAGTGCGGTCCCCAGCCCTGTCTCCCGCGGACCTGGGCATCCCAGAACCTTACTTTTTCCGCTACATCCTTGATCCCCACAATCCGCGTGCGGTCCGCAGGTTCTGGGGCCTTGGGCTGCGCGTAGGGCCCGCCGTGGGTCTTGGGCACGTGAGCCGAGCCCGAGGTTGTCTCCCATCTGTTGGTGACCTCGTCGAAAGCCCAAATATGCAAATCCTGCTTTGCGGCCAGGAGCAGGGGCTCCGCGACCGTGGACTGAGGAGAAGGTGCAGGACGTCAGCTAAAAGGACTCAGGAGTCTCGTCCGCAAGCCCTGATCCTTCCCAGTCAGTCCCCAGCCCTTTCCTACCGCCCGTTCCAGGCATCCAGGTTCCCTGACCCCTCCTCTCTCAGACCCAGTCCCTGGAACCCTCCTCCTTCTGTCAGACAGGACTCTAAGCCCGGAATCCCCTTTTCTCTCAGCAGATGTCTGGATCCCCAGGCCCCTCCTTCAGTCTGGGCCCCCAGTCTCCTCTTGACTAAGAGCCTAGGGTCCTCTCACCTGCACAGTGGGCGGGGGAAAGGGCACGGGCGGGATACAGTGGTGGGCGACGCCACTGCTGGTGAGATGCCAGCTGGGCTGGGATCCAGGCACCTTGGTCCCAGAGGTGGGGGACCGTGGGGGACCGTAGCGCCGAGCTAGGGTCCGACCCGCCATGGTCCCACCCCCGCCCCGTAGCCTAGCAGGAGCCGGCTCGTTGTTGCTGTTGCCCCGGGTGACAGAACCCGCCCATCCTAAACCCAGCCAATGAAGGGCCTGCAGGCGTGCAGATGGATGGAGTGAGAAAGACACCCAGGCAGGAGAGAGGAGGATTTTGAGAGAGTACAGAGACCCCAAAAGGGGCACAAAAACTCAGAGAAATGGGGGGGGGTGAGGACGGAGACCCAGAGGGAGAGGAGGGCAGAAAGTGCGGGGGAGAGCAATAGAAGTACAGAGTTCAGAGAGTTTGAGACCCAGAGAGGGAGCAGCAGAGAGAGGGGGACAGAGACCTGAGGCGGGGGGTGGTCAGAGACCCAAAAATAGAGGAACAGAGGGAGAGGAGGGCAGAGCTACTCAGAGCATCAGGGCATCCATGAGAAACATCCCTCTTTCCTATAGGGTCCCGGCCCTCTTGGCCACCGCCTCCCTCTGCCAGGACAGCCCACCTCGGCAGCAGAGGGTAGGGGTGAGGGGCTGGGTAACGATTTCCAGACTTCCCCAGGGCTCTCCCTCCCTCCCTGTGTGTGCTGAAGGGCTCAGCATCAGCTTCGGCTTCTGTCCTGCCTGCCTTTGATTTGGTTGAAAACTTCCACCTGGGTATGGGTGTGGGAGAAGAGGGAGGGACCCACGGGGAAATACTTAGCAATAAAGAGGGGGGTGTGGAAAGAGCTTTGCTGAATGAGAAAGAAACACACACAGGAATGGGTGAGACAGTGAGTGAGAAACAGGGACAGAAAGAGAGCTACTGACCCAGAGATGGTGGGACAGGAATTTAGACAGAGAGACAACAAAGGAGGCGGCAGAAAAGAGAGCGGGAACCACAGACCCAGAACACAGAGATGCAGAAACAAGGGCAAAAGTGTGTCTGTGTTTGCATGTGGCTATGGAATGGTAATATATGAAGGGGTGTCCTGAGGGTGTGAGGTCTATCCCTGACTTGTCACTTCCTCACTTTAAAGCCCTTTTGGTCAAAGCCTCTGCCTCCTCAGCCCCCATTATCTCATCCCACCAACCTGTTCTTCAGACAGGGAAAACTGAGGCTGCCTTCTGCAGCCTGGCCCAGGGTGCCACTGACCCCCTCATTCAGGCTTCTGGGGCCGCTTCTCCTGTTGGATTTTCCTGGCTCATTCTAGGATGATCAGGGTCCAAATCACCCCTGATCCCAGCCAGGGGACAGGCCAGTTGGTCAAAACCTCATGCTCTACTCAAGCTGGACGATGGTAAGGTCTATTTCTTTACTAGTATAGGGTAAAGGTTGGGACAGGGAAGAGGGGTAGAAACCTGATTCCAACTCCCCACCAAGGCCAAACTCTTAAGCATCCTGACCTCCTGTCATTCAACCTTGCTTGTGCTCCTGCTGTGATAGGTAGCTCACTACCTCAAAACAGAATATCTAAGCCAACACTTGCCCTATCTGACTAAGTAAGATTTCTCATTTGAACCCCAGCTCCCAACTAGCTGCCTACATGTTCCAGTTTTTATGCTCCCACACACACTTCTTGACATATCCCCTCCTTGTCACTCTCTCCAGGGTGGGCAAGGTGATGTCCTCTGAGATCGCATGGTCAGCAACTTAGAAGCTGAGGGCCTCCAATGGTCAAATCCACCAGAGCTGATCTGACAAGTTGTGTATTAGAGCTCATAAACAGTAGGCACTCAGAAAATATTGGCTATCATCATCATCATCATTATTACCCTCAAGTTCATCCAAGAGAACTCCTATTCATCCTTCAAAACCCCCATTTGGTTTCACCATCTGTCTTTCTTGCCCAGATGGAGCTCTCAAAATCGGAGAGCTGTGATTTTTGTGACCATTTGACGAGTTCCCAAACTGACGCCTAGAGCAGCCAGGCCACCCCTGAGGTCTTTCAGCATCCAGCTCTCTTCTTCCTCTACCTGCCCAGTTCCCAGGCATGGGCCTCAGGCCCGGCCATTCCGGCTGAGGAGCGTGCAGACACAGGCAGTGTCAATTCGAATCCATCGCCAGCCCACACGGCCCTGGGCATCGGTAGTCAATGCCCGCACGTAGGACTGCTTGGCCTTACACTCAGACACCCAGTGCCTCCGGTCCACACCCCGGCAGCCTCCTCCACCCCCACCGGGGCCACCTTCCCCAGCGCTGTCAGCCTTGCAGCGGGTTTCAAAGAAGTACTGGCGAAGGGGACTGCCGCCAGCCGCAGGCACCTCGCCCAGCACCTCCACCTCGCGCCCACGCAGGTCCACAGCAGTCCGGCGGTCTGTCACCCAGCCGCTGACTGCGTCACACACAGCCAGCTCTCCGCGGCGACTCGCTGGTGCTGTCTCACTCACCCCCCGCCGACTGCGGTTGGCCGGGCTGCCAGTTGGCTCCCCAAAGGCTCCAGCCTCCAGCAGGAAGAGCAGAGGGGGCCCAGCGGGGGTACCCCTGGACAGGGCTACTCGGGGGGACAAGAGGTCCCACTCGGGGACTGGAAATGGGGGCAGGGGTGAGGGTGAGGCGTGGGGCTCCATTGGGACACTGGGGAGGAGGAAAAGTAGGAGGATGGGGAGGGAGCCTGAGGGGTGGGGGAGCATCTCGCTGAGCACCTGAGGATAGAGAGAGGGAAGCTGGAATTAGAGAGAAGGATAATAACTTAGTGGGGGGGCCGATGGGAACTTCTGTGTGCCAGAACCACAGGGAGGCGGTTCTGGCACTTGTTCTAGAACTTGGGGGGACCCTATATTCTAGGGCTTCGATAATGCTCAACTTCTAGATTAATCATAATTAGTCTACTATGATTACTATTAATAGCCAACAAATGGGGAAATACAGGCTCAGAGAGGTTAGTGACTTGCACCAGGTCACACAGCCAGCAAATGCCAGAAGTGGAACTTGAACCCTGTCCCAGCAACTCCACTCTGCCATCCTGCCTCTACAACCCCAAGGAACCCTAAGCCCTGCAGTCTGGAGGAGGTTTGAGTTTCCAAAATTCTGAGAAAGGTCATGTTCTGGAATCCTAGGGAGACCCAAGTTCAGCTTAAAACTGCCACTGTGAAGGCAAGACACTTCCTCTCAGGTGGGGCTTCAGTTTCCCTGTCCATGAAATTGGCCCAGGGCTGGGAGACACTGGCAGGGGTGTGCATATTGCAGTCTCTCTAGAACATTCTGGAAGCCTGTGGATTCTGGGACAGGATGGCCTGGAGAGGACTGATTAGAAGTGGGTGGTTACCAGACCTGTCAGCACCTCCTCCGCCTCCGAGCTCCGGGGTTGGGGGCCCCCAGGCTCCGGGGGGCCCCTGTGGGGGACGCAGGTGGCCCCCTGCTTCCTGACATCTCAGGAGAGGGAGGGGGCAACCACCTAGCGGAGGAAGGGAACAGGTAGGTTATAGAGGCAGGTGGAGGAGGGGGCCTGAACACTCCCCTTCTCTAAAAGTGTTCTTTTTAAAGTGTAAGGGACCAAGAGTCAAGGCTGCATCCCCCTGCCCAGGTGATGGCTCCTGGATGGAAAGCAGATGGGGGGAGGAGAGGGGAGGGGAGACGCTGAGGGTGAAGGAGGCTGGAAAAGATTACATCCTCCTCAGCCCATTCATCTCTCAGACAGGGCGGGGGCAGGGCTGGCCTGGACACCCGGGTCCCTGAGGGCCCACACTTAAGAAGCCCCGGGTCCCCGAGGCTGCTTCCTGGAATGTTCTCTCCTCACAGGACAGGCCAGGGCCCGTCCAAGACTTCTATTGCACATACCTGGCGTGGCCGCCTGCCCTGGCTGGGAGATGGGGAAATGGGAAGGGGGAATTGTGAAGAGGGGCACATGTTGACCCAACCAGAACCCAGAGTGTAGGTTCCCGGCTGCCTCCTGCCTCAGATCTGCAGTCCTGGGCCCTAGCTGCCCCCTCCTCACTCAGACCCAAGAGCCCCGGCCACAGCTGCCTCCTTTTTCAGGAACTCAGGTCCCCAGCTCCCTCCCTCAGATGCGGGAGTCCAGGCCCCCAAATCCCCCTTCCTTCAAACCCAGGAGTCCGACCCCCAGTGCCCTCCTCCTTCAGACTCTGGAGTTTTGTTGGAGTTCAAGCTCCTTCCCAGGTACTCAGATATACGGACTCCCCGGCCCCCTCCCCCAGAAGGTTTAGCCAGGGGGTGCGGACTCCTGAGACCCCGCTGGGGGTCACGGGCTGTCCCTCTGGGACACTGCCCTCCTGCCTCAGTTTCCTCCGCCAGGCCCCGCCCCCGCAGGCCCCGCCCCCGTCCCTCCCTACCCGGGGGCAGGGCGACCCGGACGCCGGAATCCCGGGGAAGGAGGCGCGGAGGCTCTTACCTGGGGCGCACTCGTCGGCTCCCCCGGCTGCCCCTGGCGCGGCGGCGGCTCCTCCTCCTGCCCGCTGGCTGCAGGGACGCCCGGTCGCCCACCGGCTCCTCGCAGCACAAGCTCCCGAGGGCCAGGGGCGGGGGCGGGGGCGGGGCGGCGCCCGACGGCGGAGGAGGGGCCGGGGGAATCCCGCCTTCCACACACGTGCAGAGACCTCGGAAGCCCGGCCTGGCTAGCTCAGCCCTCCGCCCGCCTCAGTCCCAGGAGGCCAGGCGCCAGCACCCACCCCTCCCTCCCTCAGACCCAGGAGTCCGGGTCCCCAGCCCCCTCCTCCCCCGGATCCAGGAGTCCAGGTCCCCCAGACCCCTCCTCCCGCAGACTCCGGAGTCTGGGCCCGCGCAGCTCCCTCCTCCTTCAGACTCAGGAGTCTGGACCCCCAGCCCCTTCTTCCTCAGCTCCAGCTGCCTCCTCCCTCAGACCCAGGAGTCTGGGCCTGAGATTCCTTTGCGTTCTTTTGCCAGTGAAGTGTCAATCCCCGGGCAGATTCCCACCCTCTGCTCTCATCCCCAACTCCCCCGGGAGCTCCAGGCCAGACATTAACCAGCTGGGCTCGGGAAGTGATAAGGCCCGAGGCCCCGGGGAGACGCTGGGTGAGGGGGGTCTCTCCCACATAAGTCCTCTCTGGTGGAATTTCCTGGGTGGGGACTGGGGAGAGGGTCTTGTCCTGAGTTCAGATAAGAGCAAGTCAAGGTATTCCAGGACCCGGAGATAGACAAAGATATGATTTGGCAACAGAATGACCTGCTTAGAGAAAGAAAGTGAATAGTGACAGATGAAGGGAGGTGGGGGAAAGGCACAAAAATGGAGAGGAAAAGGGGACAGACTCCCAGAGAAAGAGGGAGACAGAAACCCAGAGAGAGAGAGAGAAGACACAGATGCAGAGAGAGGAGACAGACATGCTAAGAAAAGGGAACAGAACCCCACAAGGGGGAAAGAGACCCAGAGAAAGAGAGACCTTAAGACAGATGGAGATCAGACAGGAGTTGGAGTCCTGGGACAGACTTAATGCTTCACCCCTCCCCTGGAGCTATTTTCAGGAGGAAAGCCGACACCTGCCTTCGTGGAGGTGGTGGTGGGGTCATCCCGTACCCCTCCCTCAGCCTAAATATAGCATGGCAAGGTGGCGGGAAGGGTGTCCCCAGATTAGGGTGTTCCCCTCACCTCTCCCCCGAGCCAAGGCCACACAGAAGGCTGCTGCGGTTGTTTATTGGGGTGGAGGAGGGGCGCTTCTCAGTCTTTGAGTGTCCACTCAGGTCACTTCCCTGACCTCGCCATGCTTCCCATACCCCTAAGCACCCAACATGCCCCACGCCCTACCAGAGGAACTTTATGCAACTTTCAGTCTCTGAAGGGGTAGTAGGGGTGAGTTTTCAAAGAGTAATGGGAAACAGTTTCCGTCTCCCCCTCTCTCCTTGGGTCTCTGTCCCCCTCTCTCTCTATCCCTCTCCTCTCTGTCTGGGTCCCTGTCCCTCTCTCTTCTCTGGATCTCTGGCCCCTCCTCTCTGGTCTCTTCCCCCTTCTATGGGTCTTTGTCCTCCCTCCTGTCTCTTACCCCCTCCCAGACCGCCGCCCTCTTCTCTCCTGCTCTCCCTCCTCCCCTTGGGTATCTCTGTCCTCTCTGCACGTGTCTCTTCCTCTTTGGGTCCCTGTGCTGGGCTCTGTGCCTGCCTCCCAGACTCTGCCCTGTGTCTGTCACTGTGAGGGGGGTCTGTCTGTCTCCGTTTCTTTTCCAAATGTGCCTTTCTCTCCATTTCGGAGAGAAGTGTTATATTATTTAAAGGTTACATTATTTTCAACCTTTATCAAACACTTCTCACAATCTGTACCTTCTTCTCTCTGTGTAAAAAGGTGGTTGGATTAAATCAGGGGTTTCCAAACGGAATTTGTTAGCCACATTCTGAGTTGTCAAGAGAGACTCCTCAAACCAGTTCACACCCTCTGATGCTTCACACTGGTGCTCCTAAGTGAGATTTCATTTGACCAAAAAAGAAAGGGGGGTGGTTTCCTAGCTAAAAATAACAACAACAACTCTCTGTAAACCACTGGGTGGATTTTAATAATGAATACAAGTACTTTGAAAGTTACCTGGCACACAGGCAGCCCTATATATGTTAATGATGTAACCATCCTCCTCTTCTTTCTCCTCCAAATGCCCTTTTAGTACTGAAAGACCTCTGACCTTGGGTAACCCCCCACCTCCCTCGAGCCTTAGTTTCCTCATTTGTGAGAAATGAGGCTGTTAGACTCGGGAAGTCCTGTGCAGACCAGCAGGCTGATGGGGACATGTAGGGTCAAGCAGCAGGCCACAAGTCCAGCCCCCCATCCCTCCCCGGGGACAAGCCACGCGACCTTGGGAAGCCACTCCCATGCTCTGAGACACTGCTTTCTCCCCAGGAAGATAGAGTGGGCCCTGCAGTTTGTCTGACACACTTCTTGAGCTGCGGGAGGGTAGGGTGGTGCATCCTGATTTGGGATCCCTTTGTGATTCCATGGAATACACTGTGCATCTCTCTCAGGTTCAGGGGCACTGACTTTTTCTGCCTTTTTCTTTCTTGGTTCTCTTTCTCTGGGGTGCTCTGGTCTCTTTCCAACTCTGGGTCTCTGTCCCGTGCTCTCTGGGTTCCTGATACCTGCCCCCTATGGGTCTCTGTCTCCCCCTCTCTCTGGGTCTTTTTCCCCTCTTGGGGTTTCTTTCTCTTTCTTTCTCTGGGTCTCTATCCCTCCCCAGCTCTCTGTCCCCCTCCTTTGGGTTTCTATCCCCCCATCATGTCTGAACAGAGTACAGTTTCTCCCCCTTTCCCCTTCCCTTGTGGCTCTGATCTCCATGTCTGGAAGGAAAACTCTATGGGAAGACAGATAGAGAAGGGGTTTGAATGGCAAAACAAAGCAGGTGTGGGGTAAACGGAAGGGGCATCTACATCTTCCAAGGTCACCCAGAAGCCTTCTGTGTGACCAACTGAATCTACAAATACAGAACTTAGCCCTGCCCCTTATGGGGATGACACTGGGCAAGCCAGTTCAGTTGGTCTCCTAGAGTCCACGTACCATATTCACTCCTTGACACATGATTCCTTCCCAGTGCTGTTATCCTTGGGTCCTGGCGCTACCACTAAATGCAAAACAAACCAGTATGGCCTGGCCCTGTGGTGCTCGTACATACAGTCCAGCTCAACCCAACGTTCCTCCAGGACTCAAGGACGGAACTTGATGTAACCCAAATCAAACAGTTGTATGACCCAACTGAACTGGTCCTACGAGGTTCACATGATTATACAACTCATTACGACTCAACTCATTGTAGCCCCGACAAACTTCTAGCCATATAACTCTACACAGTTCAACGCAACAGAACCCTGAAAGACTCCTATGCTCATACATTCCAACCCAACTTAACCTCATATGACCTAGAAAGCTCACATTCTATCACATGACTCTTCGTATTTCTACATGACTCACAAGTTCACAGAACTTAAAATAACATGGCCCTAGAAGAATCACAAAGCCACGCAGTTTCCAGTGTCTCAACCCAACTCTATAGTGCCATGCATGAACACACAATCAGTCCCAACAGTGCCGTGGGTGACCACCTTACTTGATCCAACATGGCCCTAGGGGACTCATAAAACCACAGAATCCTGCATAATGCACTTGGACAAGACTCACCTACACTCGTAACCCAACCCGACCCAACATGGAACTAAGAAACTCACAAAATTATGTGACAAAACCTATCTCCACACTACCCCAAGCTTTACACAACCCAATGCAATACAAACTGATGGAGCCCCCCCCTCAAATCAGCATAACCCATTGCCATTCACTGTCACCTCAGGAGGTACCCACAGGAGCTACCAATCCACAACTCAAGACCCAATAAGACTTAGTGTTCCCCAACTCATTACCACTTAACTTAGTTCTTCCTAAACCCAACACCCTCCCCCCAACTTTCCTTCCTCCCTTCCCTCCCTCCCTCCCTCCAAGGAAATGTGAGGTTCTGCAGACCTCAACTGTCCTCACACTTCGGTGACCATGTGTTTCCCAGGGGGAGCCCAGAGGAGTGGAGGTGGGAGCTCAGGAACCTCTCGATCCACAAACCCCCCATTGACCTTGCCCTCCAGTGGGCAACAGGGCTGCGTGTCCACGTGGCTGTACATCCCAGCCTCTTCGCCATCTGTCTCCCGGTGGTAAAAGTAGCTGAAGTTGGAGACAATGACTGGCACAGGTAGGGAAATGGTCAGCACGCCGGCAATGGCGCACAGAGAGCCCACTATCTTGCCGCCCACAGTGACGGGCGCCATGTCTCCATAGCCAACTGTGGTCATAGTGACCACTGCCCACCAGAAGGACTCAGGGATGCTGGTGAAATGGGAGTCTGCCCGGTCGGCCTCAGCAAAGTAGACTGCGCTGGAGAAGAGGACCACACCAATGAAAAGGAAGAAGATGAGGAGGCCCAGCTCTCGCATGGAGGCTCTTAAGGTCTGGCCCAAGATCTGCAGGCCCTTTGAGTGCCGGGACAGCTTGAAGATGCGGAAGACGCGTACCAGTCGGATGACTCGCAGGATGGCCAGTGACATGGCTGGCTGGCCCACCCCCCGCTGCCGGGCCAGCTCGGTACCCAGTGCCACAAAGTAAGGCAGGATGGCCACGAAGTCGATGAGGTTCATCACGTTCTTGAAGAAGGCTGTCTTGCTTGGGCAGGCTGCCAGGCGCACCAGCAGCTCGAAGGAGAACCAACAGATGCACAATGTCTCCACCACAAAGAACGGGTCATCGAAGGGCAAGCGAGGTGGGGGTCCATGCACTGGGCTGGAGCCGTTCAGCCGAGTTGGAAACTGCAGAGAGGAAGGGGTTCAGGGAGGACCATACCAGGGCTGGGACGCACTGGAATGGCCATATTTCCTGTTTAAATATTCAACTACTTCTTTACAAATTGGTCAATAGCTGCTACCCCCAGAACCCCGGTGACCTAGCTGTAGTACACTCCTTCTCGGGACCCCCAGGGAAGGCTGACTTTAGGGTCCCTGATCCTTCATTGGCAGGGCCTCCTGAAATAATGCTTGAGTAGGGCTCAATCTCTTCCCTCCCAATATCCCACCCCCAGAGTTGAATTTCCAGATGGGGAGGGTCCCCATCCTGGCCCCACTCCCTTGTGCCCTGCCCTCCCCAAACCCAGCCTGGACCATAATGGTTAAACACCTTATCTTTATGCCAAAACCCGGGCCGCTTCCCTCACGGCCCTCAGCTCAACTTTCTTTATGATGGATTCCTTTTGCCCCAATCCTCAGGCCCCACCCCTCCATCTGCAGCTCCCTCGGCGGCTTTCTTCAGGTCCCAGATCTCACTACCTCCAGCCCATCCTTCCCATTGGTTACTGCCAGCCGTATAGACCCCCAATTTTTCAGTCTCTCCTTATCCCTCAGTTTTGATTTCTTAATACACCTGTCCTCCAGTGCTCCTGCCCTCCAAAAGCCGGGTTTCTCACCTACCTCAGCGCACGGCTTCTGAAAAGGCAGGTCCTCCTATGTAGATCCTCAGGCCCCGCCCCATTAAGCTACACCTTTCCCGCCCCCAGCCCAGGATTTAATGTAGGGTTCCCAGGTCTGGCGCCGTCCCTGGCTTGCCCACCTCTCACAGCCCTTTGCCCACCTTTGATTGGTCAGGTCTTCCAACCAGGCCCCCAATGCCTTGCCTATCCACAGCCAGGCCCCACCTTCCTGAGAGGCCCCACCTCCCATTGCCCCTTACCCCACTTTATGATTGGCCAGGACCCCGTGGACCTCGTCCAGCTCCTCCCAAATCCCGCCTCTCCACACGCAGGCCCCGCCCCCTCACCGGGCCAGCTGCAGCCACCGCGGCGAGCCCCGAGTTGTCGCGGTCGTCGCGGAAGTCGGGCAGCGTCTCGAGGCAGAAGACGACGATGGAGACGAGGATGACGAGCACTGAGACAACGGCGAGCACGCGCGCGGCCTGCGAGCTCTCGGGGAACTCGAAGAGCAGCCAGAGCTGGCGCGCGAAGGCGCGACGGGGCAGGGGGCGCTCCGATGGCAAGGGGCAGCCCTCCTCCTCGCGCAGGCGCGCTAGCGCCGCGGCGCCCAGCCCATAGAAGGCCACCTCCTCCAGGAAGACGTCGAGCGGCACGTGCGCCGGCCGCCGCAGGCGCCCGCCCGACTGGTAGTAATAGAGCACCGCGTCGAAGCTGGGCCGGTGCCGGTCGAAGAAGTACTCGCGGCGCGCGCCGTCGTAGAAACGTCTGCGGCGTACCGGGTCACCGAGCAGCGTGTCCGGGAAGCGGCCCAGCGTGCGTGCCCGGGTCTCGAAGCGCAGCCCAGCCACGTTGAGCACCACTCGCTCGCAGCAGCCGCACGGCTGCGGGCACCCGGGTTCCATGGTGCGCGCAGCCCCGGCGACCTGCGGACGGACGTGTGGCCCCGACGCCCGACCTGGCCCGGCCCCGCCTCGGCCGCCGCCGCCGCCGCCGCCCCAGCCTGGTGTCCGGTGTCCACGCGTAAAAATAGCCCGGCCGTGCGGCCAGGACGCGGGGGAGGGGGCGCCGTGACCCCGGCGGGGCAGAGGGCGGCCGGGCGCCCTCTGCCGGGGCGCCCTCCCTTTACCCCCAGGCGACGCGGCGCTGCGCTTTCTCCGGGTCCACCTGGCCTTCGGGGTTCCTTTCCCTCTGTCTCTCCAACGCCTGAGATCTCTGTCCTGCGTCTCTCCGGGTTTCCGTGTATGTCTCTCGTCTATGTTTTTATGAGTATCTGAGCCGCTCTGTTCGAGTCACAAATTTCCATCTTTGTCTCTCTCTCTCGTTCTTTTGTATGTCTCTGTGTCTGGCTGTGTCTTCACTTTGGGTCTCTCTGTATCTCTGATCTCGGGGTTTTATCTCTGAGTATCTCTATGGGTCATTTATCCCTGAGCTTTGCCGTTCTAGGGTCATCTGTGGGGATTCCCGTCAGTCTCTGTGTCTTGGTCTCTCCGAATCTCCGTCTTTCTTATATTCTTGTATCTCTATCTCTGTTTCTCTCTTGTCTCTCTTGGTCTCTGTCTTTCCCCTCTGTCTGGGTCTCTCTGCGTCTTGTCTCTCTGGGTCTCTTCTGTCTCATTACCTCTCAGCCCACTGTGTCTCTGTCCCTGGGATTCTCTGGGTCTCCCCTTTGGGTATCTTTCTTTCCCTGTTTCTCTGAATTACTGCAAGTCTCTGTCTCAGGGCCTCTGGAGGACCGAGCCTCTCCCGAGTCATATCTCTGAATCTCTCTCTGACATTCACCCTAGGTTGTCTCTGCCATTGTCCTGGTGGTTTCCCCATCCTGGGGATGCTCCAGCAGCTCTAAACCCTGAGCGTGTGCCCCCCACATGGGGTGCCCTCGCTCGGGTTGCCCCTACCCCCACCCCCCGGGTCTCCACCTGGATTCTCTGCCAGACTTTCTTAGACCCAGCAAGGCCTGAGCTGCAGCCCTGAACAGTGCAAAAGGAGAGCAGGCCTGCCAGGAACAGGTCAGGGGTGGGCTGGGGAAATGCCGCAGGGTCACTCGAAGGGACCAAAGGACAGACAGACGATGGCCTTCCAGCCACCGGTGTCCTATGACACGGGGTAAAAATAGCCCCATCCGATGTGCTTGGCGGGAAGTCGTGGGGATTGGACACCCGGACTCCAGGGAATGATGCCCCGGGCGCCCTCTGCTGGGGGAGTAGAGAGAGACACTAAAGGTTTTAACCCCCTAGGAATTCTGGCATGTTCTCTTCCTGTCTACAATTTCTTTCTGGGATGCTATGTCACCATCCATCTGGATTTCTGTTTCCCTCTTTCTGTGTCTGTGTCCCTTTCTTTCATGGTCTTTGGCCCTACCCGTGTCTGGGTCTCTGTCTCCCCATCTCTCTGGCCTTTTCCCTTCTTTCTGGTCTCCTTTCTCTTTTTTTTTCTCATTCTCAGAGCCCACAGAGATCCCTCTTTGTAGGTTTCTGAATGCTGTGTGTGCACCGATCTCTCCTGCCTGCAACCTTATCTCTTAACACCCTCCTACCACTGAGCCTGGAGGTGGGCGCTCCTTCTTGCCACTTCCAGACAATTCTCCCTCAGCTCCTTTGAAGCTCAAGTTATCCATGGACACCTCTTCCCAGCCTTCCCTAAAGAACTCATCTCTTTCCCTTCTGCCCACTCCCACTCTTTCATGGAAGATTTTCAATGCTGGCTCTATATCCATCACTCTAAAACGACTGTCATAATTCTTAATAATTTCAATATCCCCATATAGATGATTCTGCTAAAACCTGGCCTGTACCCGGTTGTCTTTTCCAAAAAGGACCGTATTTTTTGTCCAAGCCATGTCACACCCTATCTTGTGGAGTCCATTCTCCAGCCTTTGGTGAGACCCTCAACGAACAGACCACCTTGGAAGAGACGCAGTGTGATTTCCGAGGTTGGGTCATAAAAGGCAACGTTCCACCCCACTCTTTTCCTTGGGACACTTGTGCAGGCTAGATGACAAGGCCCATGTGGAGAGGACTCTAGGCTACTAAACTCACAGCTCATCCCCAGCACCAGCCTGCAGCCACGTGAGTGAGCCATCTTAGAAGCACATCCTCCTGCCCCAGCCAGGCTACCCCCTGGAGGAGAGATAAGCCTTCTCCCCGAGGCCCTGCCCAGCTTGCAGACTTGTGAGTGAGATAAATGATCTTTATTGTTTTCAGTCATACAGTCTTTGGGTGGCTTGTTAACACACACCACGATACTAGATAATCCACACGTGGCCTCTTGGTACTCTGAACGCATCATTTCCATCCATCTTGCCCTCTGATCTACCCCAGCCCCCTTCCTTCCTTCCTTCCTTGTTTAATTTTATTGAGCTACAATTCACATACCATACAGTTCACTCGTTTAAAGTATACGACATGGGACTTCCCTTATGGTGCAGTGGTTAAGAATCCGCCTGCAGGGCTTCCCTGCAGTGCTTGAGAGTCCGTCTGCCGATGCAGGGGACACGGGTTCGTGCCCTGGTCCGGGAAGATCCCACATGCCGCGGAGCGGCTGGGCCCGTGAGCCATGGCCGCTGGGCCTGCGCGTCTGAAGCCTGTGCTCCGCAACGGGAGAGGCCACAACAGTGAGAGGCCCACGTACCGCAAAAAAAAAAAAAAAGAAAAAAAAAGGATCCGCCTGCCAATGCAGGGGACATGGGTTTGATCCCTGGTCTGGGAAAGATCTCACATGCCTCAGAGCAACTGAGCCCTCGAGCCACAACTGCTGAGCCTGCATGCTGCAACTACTGAAGCCCACGCGCTTAGACACCACTGCAATGAGAAGCCCGCGCACCACAGGGAAGAACAGCCCCCACTCGCCACGACTAGAGAAAGCCCACGCGCAGCAATGAAGACCCAACGCAGCCAAAATTTTTTTTAAATAAATAAAAATAAAATAATTTTTAAAAATAAAGTATACAACACAATGGTTCTTCCTATATTCATAAGAGTTTTGCATGCAAAACTGCAATCAATTTTAGGCAATTTTTGTTTTCCTTCCAAAGAAACTACACCCGTGTCTATCTGTCCCCCTTGATTGTGCCACCCACTTCCTCGGTCATACCCTTGTCCTTGTCATTATCAGTAACTACACACCCTTAAAACTTTTTTTTTTTTTTTTTGGCCACACGGCACGGCTTGCGGGATAACCTGGGCCACAGCAGTGAAAGTGCCAAGTCCTAACCACTGGACCGCCAGGGAACTCCCCAAACTATTTTTTTCTTCCTCTTTTTTGTTTGTTTTTTATGGGAGTTTAGTTGACTTCCTCTTCTTTTTTTAAAAAATTATTTTATTCAAGTATAGTTGATTTACAATGTCAATTTCTGCTGCACAGCACAGTGATAAAGTTATACATAAATATACTTTTTCCTCTTCTTTTCCGTTATGGTTCATCACAGGATACTGAATATAGTTCCCTGTGCTACACAGTAGGCAAACTATTGTTATCATCCCATTCTCTGTCCATGCACTCCCTTTTCCCACCAACCAACTTTAAGAAAAAAACTTTCAAGGGAGTTCCCTGGTGGCTTAGTGGTTAGGATTCTTGTCTTTCACTGCCATGGCCTGGGGTTCAATCCCTGGTCGGGGAACTGAGATTCTGCAAGCTGCGGGGGGTGCAGCAAAAAAATAAATAAAAATAAAGCCAACTTTCAAGCCCACCAGCAGGTACAATGCATTGACCCCATTAGATTCTCATTATCTTTGACTCCCCCCATCTTGTCCTCCCTCCCCTCTTCCCCCTGCTTCCACCGTTCCACGGTCCCCCATAAAGTCACTCTCCTTTGGATGTCTTTCCCTTCTTTGCCTATGATCCCCTCCAGGGCACTGTTGGGGTGAAACCCTAACCCTGTGCCTTCCCAGGGGGCTCTGAGCGGGGCTGGATCCCAAATCCCAGCCCTCCTGTGACCCTGCTCTGTGTCCTTCATCAAGGTACACTCAGCACCCACCCCCCCACAAGATGGCCATTCCCCATCTTCATTCTCCTCAAATCCCCACCACACCCTGGTCCTCCACCTTCAATCAGCTGATTCCCTCACTCCTCATTCTTCTGAAAGCGTAGAGGCTACCAGACACTTCATCTTCCCACAGCCCATTCTGTCAGCTGCCCAGATGCTCTGCTTTTCATCTGTCCCTCCCAACCCAAGACCAACATCTTGCCTTGTGTCCTGGGTCCCATCTCTCTGTCCCGGCTGCAGACTCAGCTCCTGTCATCACTCCTAATTCTCTTGTATCATTAATATGCGAGGCAGAATGATGTCCTCCCCCCACCCCCGGAAGATGTCCATGTCGTAAGTCCTAACTCCCAGAACCTTTGAATATGTTGGGTTGGCCAAAAAGTGCCTTTGGGGTTTTTTTGTTTTGTTTTGTTTTGTTTTGCGGTACGCGGGGCTCTCACTGTTGTGGCCTCTCCCGTTGCGGAGCACAGGCTCCAGACGTGCAGGCTCAGCGGCCATGGCTCACGGGCCAAGCCGCTCCGCGGCACGTGGGATCTTCCCGGACAGGGGCACGAACCCGTGTCCCCTGCATCGGCAGGCGGACTCTCAACCACTGCGCCACCAGGGAAGCCCGTGCCTTTGGTTTTTAAAGATACATTTTTCATTTTCACCAAGAACTTTATTGAACACCGTATTCACCTTTTTGTTCCACTACCTTCTGCCATTTTTCAGGTGACTTCATAATTCCATATTCTCAAAACTTTTAACCTTTTTGAGCAAAGAACTGTTCCAGGTGCCTTTTACAGTCTTCCAGGGAACTGAAATTTTTTCCATTAAGAGAATTTTGTAAAGACCGAAATAAATGTAAATCCGAAGGTGCAATGACTGGTGAATATGAATATGGTGGATGAATCAGAACTTCCCAGCCAAGCTGTAACAGTTTTTGCCTGGTCATCAAAGAAACATGCAGTCTTGCGTTATCCTGATGGACGATTATGCGTTTTCTGTTGACTAATTCTGCACGCTTTTTGTCGAGTGCTGCTTTCATTTGGTCTAATTGGGAGCAGTAC